GTTACCGACATCTGGTGAAAATTTCATGTCATTAGCACCTCTAGTAATATATTTACTGAGGAAAATGTTGACGTGTTCAATACTTATTTTACCCGCTGTCCATGCCCACACTCATTTTTACTTTCACTTTAATAATTAAACTTTATTGCTGTCGTATACGTGTTGAAATGTCTCGTTAGGGAGGGGTCTGTGGGTCGAGGTGGTCTGAGGAGGAAGGAGATGAATGGAGATGTGTGAACTTTTATTTAAGATTTAAGGTTTTTTTATTTCAAAGGTCCTCATGGCTCAGCAGCAGCAGAAGCATAAATATTACTGTTAAGAAAGCTGATGATGAAGTTGAATAAAAATCTAAGTCTGATGAAGATAAATTAAATATCTGACAGTGATCTTTACACAGTGTGGCTCTAATTCCTCACTTCACCATCTGTGTCGCAGTTTCACGTCTCCAAAATGAGCGTACGCATGGGTCAGAGCTGGCTGAGGCACCGCACATTTTCACGTCAAGTTTGGGTTTTATAAATACAACCTTTGCGTGAAAAGTGGTGTACACAAGTTTTATAAATCCAACCCCTGGTCTTTGTGTGTCCTTGTCTGTGTTCAGGTCTTCAGCTGTCCCTCGTGTCTCAGTGTCTTCTGTGTGGAGTGTGACCTCTTCATCCATGAGTCTCTGCACTGCTGCCCCTGCTGCATTCACAGTCGGACCACTGCGTGASGGTAACCCAGACCTTTGACCCAGTCCAGACCTGTGTGAAGTTCTGTACAGGCTGCAGCGGGTTTGGACCTGAAGAGTTAAAGGAGCTGTGTTCCTGTTTGTTTCTGACTGAATGAAGATATGWAATATAGTTTGGATTCAATAAAACTGTTTTATACCTGTCGAATTCTTCAAGTTTCAATTTCACAACCTGAAGTTGTAAAACTGGATTTTATTTTAAAGTTAAATCTCAGGTAAGTCTGGTTTCAGAGGCTTTCTGCAGCATGYCTTGATTTATGAACAGGGTAACAAATTCACACAATTTGTTTCTGTAAAAAGTTATGTTGAAATACGAGGTCAAATTTCTATTATAAATCATTTAAGTTGAAAGAGAACGTCTTCTTTACTTTGGTGGAAGTGAGAACCAGGAATCAAATACAGAATTAGACTTGAACTTTAAATGCAAGAAATAAAGTCTTACAATACTCAGCCGGACCAAAATACACACCACTKTATTCTGAAGTGTTTTTGGCCACACATTCAGGAAGTGCCCGCTCCTTGGATAAGCCTCTAATGACTGGGAGGGCCTCCTCACATGACCTGATGCTTACACATCAATGAATCTACACTGATGATGAGAGAATAACTGTCTTCTGGGATGTTGTGTTGAATGACGTGTGTTAATCTCTGGTAAAGTATATTCTGTTTGAGTTTACCGTRACGTAAGCACACTGCACATAAACTAAATCAGTTTGATCATGAAAAACAGATAATTACACAAAATATGCTAAATACAATATGTGAAGTGCATTAAAAATCTGTAATAAATCTTCAAAGTCATAAATATAAGACATTATCTCAAAATTAAATGTTATAAATTATCTTTAATCTGAGTAATGAATTAGAATTTAAATTTAGCACCTTATAATTACAGGTTGTTAAATCATATTTATGAGGCACTCAGACAGAATTCAGGTTTTAACAAACAAAGTTATATTTACTGCAGTAAAGTGTCAGACTGCAGGAAACCACAGACGAAGAAGGTGTCGTCATTTCCGGTGTTTCCGTATCGCGTGCTGGCGGGAACCAGCGGTCGGGAAACATGTCTCGGGTTCTGAACGGGATCGTGGCGGTGTGTCCGGACCTGGGTATCGGCAAGAACGGAAACCTTCCCTGGTTTCCGGTTCGGCTCAGGTGAGTGTGTGTACGGTACCAGACCCGGACTGGAGGTGGTTCTGTACGGTACCRGACCCGGTGGTTCAGGTGGGTCATGTGACTGAGTTTCGGTACCAGAATAACCGARCTGTTTCATTTCTGTTTGCAGTAATGAATTCGCTTATTTCCGGAGGATGACGGCCACTCCTTCAGTTTCAGGTAAAACACAGGTGTGGAAACACGGCAGGGTCAAAGGTCAACACGGAAACAGGCTCGGCAGGAAAGGTTCGGTCCAAATGAAGATAAAATGTTTCTGACCATAAAGTGAAATGCTGTTAAAACACAAATATAATGACATCATTAAAGTTTTGAATACACTAGACCAGGGTAGACTGTCAGTCCTCTACCTGGACATGCTGGAACCAGTACTCTGAGGTTCTGGTCCATCATGACTTCACCTTCAGTGTGAACTGGATCCTCAGTTTCCTCTTCTCAGCTGTCAGGAAGTGACATCACTGGAGTCTTCTGCTGCTKGAGACCACCTGCTTTCAGGCAGGACCTGTTCAGAGGGGTTTCTGTAGACCTGCAGGGCTGGGTGTCTGTCAACCAATCAGATTCATTCTGAGATGTTCAATAAATCAAACACACCCAGTCCTGACGTCAGACCTCTGTCAACCAATCAGATTCATTCTGAGATGTTCAATAAATCAAACACACCCAGTCCTGATGTCATACCTCTGGTGTGAACATGTTTAACAACATCAGGACCAAGGTATACATGAGCTTATGAAAGGAATGTTAATGCAAAGTCCCCTTGAGGATGAAAGAACAAGTGTGTGTGTGTGTGTGTGTGTGTGTGTGTGTGTGTGTGTGTGTGTGT